GGCAAGAAAGAGAAGAAGTACACCTCGAACCCAAACCCAGGTTTTTATTAGGGAGAAGCCATTCCAATGAGGCTAGGGTTAGGGTTACAGCAAACAAGCGAGTGTGATCCAACCCCATCAGGTGATGCCCACTTCTGGAACTGCACCTCTTTACCCAAGCAGAGGTAAAGTGCAATACCTGTTCAGTACTTCTTTACTCAGAACTTAAAGGTGTGTACATAGCTCCTGTCCAGGATGGCTCCTAACAGAGATGCATTTATTTCACTGAATGTTATCTCTTAAGTTTTCGGAAAGTTGATTTTTTTTTCTACCTAGTTTCCTACCACCCATATTATTTGGGAAAGAATGCCTTGATCTAAGTAAGGAAAGAATTCTGCCTTCTACTACAGAAATGGATGCATACAGACACTGCTTTTGCTGACTCCCTAGTAGGAAATCATTATGCTTGACCAATTAAATGCTTCAGTTTTGACCCTGAGTCTTAAGGTAGTGATGACAATCTTCAGGCACAGTCGACTTTTGTGAAGTAGTATTATTAACATGTGTAAAGTTGCCCAGAGTGGTGTCATCTTGGATATCTTCCTTGCCTCTTCACCTTTTGGTATCTGCTTATTTTCTGAGACAGATTCTCTAGCTCTTCTATGAATTTTTGAACTGATCAGTCTTCATATAGGAAAGTAATTTCTGCTTAAGTTCTTCAGAGTCAGTGTTGCTTATTAAAAAATAATCAACTCTGGAGAAATTGGTACTTGGGAATAGACTGTTTGCAATAGCTGCTTAAGGAAATAAGAAGTCTAGAATAAAGATGGCTGAGGAAAATGAAAATTAGCAATTATAGAAAGATCAAAATACAGTAACTCAGGTATTCAAGGGTGAGTAATTCAGGGTAGGATGACTATTTACAATCATATCACAAAGCTTAGAAGGAAGGAGAATAAACCTGGGCTGTTCATTGTAGTATCCACTATGCCTTTATGATAAGTACATTAGGAAAACTTAGTGCATAAGAAAAGAGTGTAAAATTATTTCGGGGAGGTACCAGGATTGAATTCAGGAACACTTGACCACTGAGCCACATCCCCCGCCCTGTTATATTTTATTTAGAGACAGGGTCTCACTGAGTTGATTAGTGCTTTTGCTGAGGCTGATTTTGAACTCATGATCTTCCTACCTCAGCCTGCCAAGCCACTGGGATAACAGGCATTTGCCACCATGCCCAGCACAGTGTAAAATATTTTATTAATAACTTTATGTTGCTTACATAATGACAATCACTTTTATGGTACATTAAGTTAAAAATATTTTTTAAATTGTTTCTTTTTACTTTTAAAATTTTTAACTTTTAATTTTAATTTTTCAAAATGTAACTACTTGAAAATTAAAAATTATATATAAGGTTTGCATTTGCTCCTCACATTTTTTTATCTTAATAGCACTTCCATAAATAATCAACTTGAGGTCCAATCTGAAACTCTTGTACTACTATCATGCTCAAAAACTAAAAATTACAAACAAACAAACAAAAATCCCACTTTTCTGAATAGCACTGATACTGAACTAGTGAAATACCCATATTTGTCCTTACATGAGAAAGAATGAGGATATGATGGGGATGGGGATGTGGGGCAAATTCTGGAGGCCTTGAAGACACCCTCATTCCTCAATTCCACTAACACCTTTCCAGACAAATAAATTCCTTCCCATTTGCTTAAAAATACTGCAACTTCCTTATATGAGTATTATCAAGGGAATTAAGCCAATTCCCTTCATACTCATGGTGTGCTCTCTTTGTTGCCCCCAGGCTTCCAACTAGAACCATTATCAACAGCAGTTCCCAGAAGGAATGGCTTACTGGCTCAAGGGATTTCAGAACTTTGATATTTATGCCTGTAGATACGTGGGAATATGAGTGAAAACAGATGCTAACAATAAAGGGAGTAGTATAAGTTAAAATTGGTACCAATATGAATACACATCCCAGAGACCCAGGACTCAATGTTAGCTCAAACACTGGGTCTAATTATTTACTTCCCTAAAGTGACTTATGACAGTAATCTATATAATCATACCTGAGAGGTAGAGATTCACTCATATCTTTCAGAGAATTGGTACCTTGAGCCAACATTAATTCCCAGAATCTTCCACTGTCATTGCAATCGACCAGTAAAAATGAGAGTTGTTGCAGTTAGAAGTTGGGTGGGGTTTTGATCCAAGTCAGCCCCTTTGTTGAACCCACTGAAGCCTGATTTATAGTCTTTTTATCCCACAGGTTATTGACCACAGGTTCCTGAAATGTTTCTGTAAATTTTGTTTCTGGCTAAAGTTAGCCAGAGTACGTTTCTGTTGCTAGCAACAGAGGTCACTCACTGGCTGATGTAATTTCATGAAACCTAGTAATCTCTCCCCATTTATTGGAAAGGCTATTGATGTTCACAAGAATCTATCTTTCATCTGAACTCTGAAACTAATAACTGTGTGACTTTGAGTATTGACCTCTTCACCTGTAAAATCAGGTTGTTTGACTATCGTGAGATAGCTTCCAAGCTTAAAATTCTCGATGCTCAACACCATAATTGAATGTACATGTACATTCTTTTTTAAAAAACTTTTTTAGATGGATATAATATCTTTATTTTATTTTTATGTGGTGCTGAGGATCAAACCCAGTGCCTCACAGATGCTAGGCGAGCACTCTACCACTTGAGCCACAACCCCAACATGTACATTCTTAATCCAATGGTTTGACAGCTCTCACCCTAAAATTTACAGGTCAACATAATGGGGACTATTGACAAAATAAACTCTGAACCTGAGAGATTTAAAATTTTTTTTTTATTTTTGATCTCCTGTGCAGGGCTGTATCCATGAAAATTCAAAAAAAAAAAAAAAAAAAAAAAAAAAAAAATCCCTTTCACAAGTTTATCTCCTGACAAAAGTGCTGCTTTTGCTCTTGTTATTTTTATCATGTGAATATAATCTTTATCTATTAATTTACAGCAATTACAATACTGTCAACTTCTCTAGTCTACCATATAATGCAATTTCTGGGCCAAAGAGGAAGACAAACATAAAATAAATAGTTTTACACCTATATAACAATAGTGGTAAGTGCCATAAAGTTTAACACATCATGAGGCACCTGGTAGACAAACACCTCTGAGGATAACAGTAGACTCTGAGAGGTATATAAAGATGGAAACTGGATTATATTAAGACTGGTGGTTGATGGAGGCTGATATGTTTAATGCGTGTCAAACTGGAGCACAGGGTAATGTGTGCTGTGTCAATCTGCTGATAGTCACTAATCTTTCCTTTCTCTTGGAGTTCTGGTGCCTGAAACCTCAAAGGACTTGATCCAGGTGTCTTCTTCCAACAGCCTCCATTAAGCATTCACATCACTTAAAAAAGACAGTAATGCAAAGGCAAATAAATGTCTTCAGTTACTTAAAAAAAAAAAAAAAGTAACCTGCAATCTCCCGCCTCATATGTGCAGAACATTTCCTTCTCCTGGTTAGTTCCATCTTCTTTTAAACTAGGAGCATAAATGTTTTCACCTGCTGGAAATAAATCCAGAGTTGTTCTTGAGAAGCGAAAGAGTCCTCCACAAAGCAAAAAGTAGATTTTATTTTAGGTAACTGTCCTCATTTTCTTAGCCACTTTAGTTTAATTTAGGTCCTGGATATGAGTTTATTTTCACAAAGGTATTTATAGAGAGAAGAAAAGAGAGAGAACCTTAAATTTGGATTTCTCCAGTGCATTGAAGGGATAAGGGCTTTCTCCAAGGAGCATGAATACATTTCCTTCATGGTGACAGTTTCTGAACATGACAGCCCAGTGAGTCAGTACCAGACCCACACTCACTAGGCTGGGTTACTATTTTATATCATCACCTGCTTGGGAAAAATGACTTAATTACATAGGTCTCAACTTCCCACTCTATAAATATGGGTAATAATAAGATTGTGGTGAGGATTGGGTGAAATATATAGGTGAAGTGTTTGATACAGTGTCTGGCCAATATCTGCTCAACAAATGTTTGCTATTAACATAACTATCATCATTATTTTTATCAAATGACCAATGCCAGAGAAGTAGTGGAAGGGTGTATGGGGAGGAGGTCAGAAAGACAGAAAGTTGCATATTCATGTCAAACCAGCAGCCTCTGAAAACATTTTAATTTATATAAAACCTATCCTCATCTATATGATGCACTGTAATCATTTTTATTGATTGCATTAGTTTGGACTGACCTTTCGTTTATTGTATTACAAAACAGCTCACTGCAGTGTTCAGGGGAAAAGTGTCTCAGAGAAAGAGACACACAGGAGCGACTTTCTGAAATATCCTCCTTGAAAAAGCTTTCCAGCTCCCTTGTTTAAGTAAATAGAATGCTTGTCTTCCAGTGTCAACAGAGAGTGAAGTCTCTGGAGAATGCCTGGATACAAGTGCATTCTCCACCATTATCAAGCTATGCTGTGTCACACAAGTTCTTTCCCTAAACCTCTTTTTACTTAAAATTGGGGTAATAACAGTGGCTTCCTCATAGAAATATTTTGAAAATTAAATGAAATAATAAATAATACAGGCAAAGCTCTCAGAACAGAATCTGGCACAACATAAGCACTTGAGAAATATTAGTACAGTATAACTATGTTATAGATTATAGTTCTTTTTTTTTGTTAACTCCCCATGAATCAACCATCCCCTCTCCTTTCTCATACTGTATAAAGCCTGTTTAAAGATTTTGCACAGTGTGGTAAAAGTAAATCTATCACAGTTTTATTGAAAAAGTTTTTGCTAAATCTGGTAATATTGTCAAATCTCAAATTTTCCAGATTAATTTAAACAATGTCATGGTATCAGGCAATATTCAAGCTGAAACGTTAAGAAAAAAAAAAACCTCAAATATTTTGAGCAAGAAGAAATTTAATACAGAGAGCTCGGTGATTTAGAGATCCACAGGAAGGGCTGGAGAAGCAGAGATCCTGGAGAAGGCTGACTTACTCAGTTTCATTGTCATTCCAGGAATGACAGGAAACTCCCTTCAATGATCTCAGTTCACCAAAGCTCCAGATGAATAATTTCCAGTGATCTAGAGGAAATGTAAGAAATCATATTTTTAAAATCCCCTAACATTTACCTACTGTACAAAGAACAATAGTTTCTTATATTTGACTTGTCAAAATTTGTGGCCCCTGCTTGATGGATTCTAAACCAGAAACAGCTGGCAAAGCATTCTGGGAAATGTAGTTCCTAGGCCTCCAGTCATTGTGTTAGGAAAACTGCTAGAATAAGAAATAAGGGTGCATGCTAATTGCTTTTGAGAACATAATATGTAGCACAGTTACTCCTTTGAACATTCAGTATACATACAACCTTTCTACCTATATTTAAGTTTATAAACAGCAATAAAAATGACAACATACACTAACACACTACAATCATTTTCTATTGTCTCAGAGAAACTCACTAAATCCCTACACTCCCAATTCCATCAGTTACTTTATCCAAATCAACATGAAGTTCATAATTTAGTTTAGTAACCACCCATCTAAACAGTACAGGTTACCCACCATTAAACTACTTTATATAAAAATTATATAGTTTAACATACACAAATAAATTTTTGGCATACAGAAAGTATGTATGGGTGATATAGTAATTTCAATACCTGTAGATAAAGTAATAATTGCTATTAATAGCTTCCTTTTTCTGGAAGTGGTGCTTTGTCTCCTAGTTCTCAGCTGCTGTCTCAACTGCTTATGGTCCTTTACTTGGTGGAGTACCTGTTATAATTTGGATGTGAGGTATCCCCCAAAAGCTCATGTGTGAAAAAATGCAAGAAGGTTTTAGAGGAGAAATGATTAGGTTATGAGAGTCTTAACCCGATCAGTGAATTGATTCCCTGATGGGATTAAGTGGGTGGTGGCTGAAGGCACGTAGGGTGTGGCTGGAAGAGGTGGGTCCTTGGGCTATATATTTTGTATCTGGTGAATGAACCCCACCTCCCCTCTAATCATCATGTGAGCTGCTTTCTTTCACCACACTTTTCCACCATGATGTCCTGTCATCTGAGAAATGGAGTTAGCCGTCTATGGACTGAGACCTCTAAAACTGTAAGTCCCTAAATAAACTTCTTATTCCCTAAAATTGTTCTTGTCAGGTCTTTTAGTCACAGTAGTGAAAAAGCTGACTAAAACAGTGTCCTAACCTTAGCAGTCCCATCTGAATTCAATTACTGTAGTAATCAGCAATCGTCCCCAATTTCTCAGTTCAACTGTCTTTGCCTGTTGGTTTGTTACCATGAACCATTAAGGAGGTAATCTCACCTTTCAGTTTCAGAGAAATTTTGCTTTATATCATGAAAGAAGAATTTCTCACTTAGAAATTAGCAAACTCATAGTTGTTAAGATAGGAACATCAGTAATATTAGTTGCTAGGATAGAATATTAGTAATGAGAAGAACTACTCCCATAATTATTCTCTTGGTTTCCAATCCCATTTGTTTTTATCACTCTTCTAGGTGTTGGTGTACCTGGTAATACCAGTGATCCCATGCATATTAGTTTATCCTCTCTCTCTTCTTCTCATAGTAAATTAGGTTCTTGGTCAGAAATACTACTTGGGATACTATTACAGTGAGTAAGGTATCGAGTGAGTCCAGGGATGCTATTGCTGGCAGATTAAGGGACTGGGAAGGAAAATTCCATATTCACAGTGTCTATTCCAAAGAGAATAAATTGCTACACTTGACACAATATAAAGATGCAAGGCACTCACTTTGCAAACAGATGACACGAAGGTCCTGGAGAATGCTACTATATCAGAGACTCAGCTCTCATCTCAGCTTTTTGTAAATTGATTACTATGCAACTTCCCCGGACAGATTAGCTTTGGAGAGGTTCACACCCATATAGTTTAACTCCTGCATAACTTCCATTTGAGGCAATTGGAACACTGCGTTCTTGAATTGATTTAGAAAGCGTGAAGGTGGCTGTTGAGAGAGACTGACATCCACACAGCAGGTCATCTTGTCCATCTCATTATCCTTTGCAGTGCATTTCTGTTGGTGAATCAGTGGCCATATGAACAGAAATATCTAATGAATTTAGAGTTCCTCTTCAACAAATCTCTCATTTATCTCCTCCTCTGACCATCTTATCACTAATCCTCCAGTCATATTCCTTTTATATTCATAATTATTCAGTAATTCCATTGAGACCATCCATTATTTTGGTATATATACATACAAATGAGAGTCTCCATGACCAGGAATATGACACATTAGTTGCACTGCCCAAGCTTCTGCCCACTACTATTTCTCTTCCCAACTGTTTTCGAGAACCCCAATTAAGTGAAATTATTATCTTACAAACGTGTAGTTCTAAACTGTTGAAATCTATTATCCACACATAAACCAGCTTTGAAAATTATCCTTCTTATATAATTGATTATAGGAAATTCCCCATAAGATCTCAGGTATAGTCTTAGAGGTAGAAATACATGTAGGGGCTATTTCTCTCAAGGGTAGGGGCTTACAAGGTGTATAAACTCATCTTTCACTGTGGAAGGAATGTGTTAACATCACGTGGGCCTTTGGAACTTTAGAAATTTTGCAAGGTAGCAGACTCCCAAATGTTCATGAGGATTACCTCCTTCCATCTCTTATAACATGAGTCATATCAAGGCACTCGAATATTTGTTGATTCTTGCCAACCAGATTCAAAGAGGGTGTCATCAGTGTAGTGAATACAAAACCTTATTGGGTAGAGAGACAATCAAGTTTTCTATTGAATATCTAAGAAGAAAATTAAATAATCTTATTAGGTGAAAGAAAACTGCTATTGGTAATCTTTTCTAATTGGTTTCACTGCAATGACAGGATATATTTTTCAATTGCATGAACTAGTATTTTAAGGAAGAATTAAAATTGAAAGGAAAACATTTTATATCTAATTAGCAGATTTATAAAACAAAGCAGATGAATAAAAATATCTAAGAATATGAGCATTGTGTTAAAAAATAAGTAACCTTATAGAATAGCAAGAGACAGCAAAATGGCATGGGAAATAAAGACACATTTTAGAAATACAATAAAAATGCAGGATAAGAATGTCTAAAGCAAAGAAAAAGAAGCACTAATTATATAGAAAGCTACAAAAATTCATTCACTCGTTATTCTATTTATCATAATTACTTTTCTTTTTTAAATTAACAACCATGAAGGGGAAAATAGCTACAGTGGTTAAAACATTTATTATTGGTATATAAGAAAAATAACATTTTTGCTGCAGTGTCTATGTCAAAAATTAGATTTTATTTGAAATTTAAAATTGCCTAATGTTTATCCAGATATTTAAAACTTAGCTATGCTATTTCTTTTTTAATACATTTTCTTAGTTGCTATTGTTGTAAAAAAAATTAAAGTACTTCTGTTGAAGAATTCAATCATTCTCCCCTAGTAAATAAAGTTAGTCACCTCTGTGCTTCTGTTGTAAATTAGAAAGTCATTACTGGCCCTAGAAGTAACTTTCTTTACTTCAACTGAATCATAATGAATACATAAAAATGTTTTATTTTCCCTTCAATTATTTCCAGTTTAACATTACATACTAATTCTTTTCAAATTTTCAAATTTTTATTTTATTACCTTGTTTTATGATATTGTCTTACCTTTATTTTACATATTTAAGGTAGATATTTTATGATATATAATAATTGATCTTTAAAATTTACAATACATTTTCAGGGTCTTTAATTTCATTATGTCCATATGTTAGCATTACACTCTCCTAAATTCACAATGCTGGGATTGAAAGAGGAGCCTCTTTAAACATGAGTATTAGGCATTTACATTGGATTGCCACCATGTTAAGTAAAGTACCAAGAGTACCCAATTATTGTCATCTGATAATGTATAGTTTCATTCATAAACTGTTCTACATCTCTCCTCATTTTATACACCTATGAATAAAAAATAACCTCATTTTATTATTTCATACTTATCTATTTCATAACTTATTAATTTCTTTTAACAATGTTAATAATGTTAATAGGTTAATAATATTAACATATAAGACTAAATCATTAGTGTTATATTCTCAGGGCTTTTTATTTTTTTTAAAGATTTCAGTACTTCTATTTTTTTTAAATTATAATTGAGATATAATTCACATACCATAAAATTAAATCATTAAAGTGTACAATTCAGTGGGTCCCAGTATATTCACCACTATCAAATTTTAGAGCATTTTCATCACGCCCAAAAGAATTCTTTCAGCATTCACCAACCATTTATCCTTCCTTCTCCTCAGTCTCTAGACACCTCATTTATTTCTGTCTCTATGGTTTTGCCTGTTCTAGACTTTTCCTGTAAATGAAACCATATAATATACAAACTTTTTATAGGATTCTATTCACATGCAATGATTTTCAAAGTTCATTCCCATCATAGTACAAATTAGTACTTCATTATTTTAATGAACAAAAATATTGTACAGAAATACTTTATCAACTCATGGAATGATATTTGGATTGTTTCTACATTTGGGCTGTTATAAACAATACTGTAATAAACATTTGTATATGAGTTTTGTATGGCCATATGTTTTGAATTTTTTTCCATCTTATATATATGATGGAAATTCTAAATCATATGATAATTCCGTGTTTAACATTTGGGAAAATGCCAAACTACTTTTCATTGTGGTTGTATCATTTGACAATATCACTGGCAAGGTATGAGTGTTTCAATTTCTCAAATTCTCCATATTCTAACAACAGGTGGCATTATCTGCCCTTTTCATCTTAGTCATTCTAGTATGTGTGAAGTGGTTTGGGTTCACATTTTCCTCATGGCAACTGATGTTAAGCCTCTATTCATAAGTACCTATCTTCATTCGTTCATTTTCTTTAGACATATGTCTATTCAAATCTTTAGCTCAAGTTTTAATTAGCTCATTTCCCTTTTTATTGTAGAACTGTAAGAGTTTTAGATATAGTTTAGATAAAAGTACCCTACAAGATTCATGATTTAAAAATATTTTCTCCCATTCTTTAGGTAATCTTTATACTTTATCACTGCTTCCTTTC